TGTGATGTTGGACTTGGTGTGATAGGTTGTTTTGGAGACTATCATACTTTAAAACACTTTTGAGCACTTTCCTATACTACTGAAACTCCTTATAAACTATTTCAGAACGAAAAACAAAAGATGCATCGGCAAAAAAAAACCGTAACCAAAGGGTTAAGGTAGATTCTGTAAAAAAATCTGTCGACGATCTTGAACTGTCAGATGACCTCAAGATCTAACCAGATGTCCAAAAGTCTGTACAAGATCTTGATGTACTAAGCAGCACCCTGAGAATTCTTTCAAGATTTAATCAAGATCTTGATTCACGATTTTTTATCTCAGACCGGAGGTTGATTTCGGGTATAAATTTACTAACCATAGATACCAGGGGCCACTGTTAACAATGACACGATGTATCAGTCATTACCCAGGATTTACTCAATATCGAGACGTTTCTGATTCTGCTTGTAGCATTAGAAAATTAGGTGCAAGCTCCGCGCCAGACCAAACTTTATGAAACTAAGGTGATATATACAGAATTCCAAGGCGAATCCGACAGCGGGCTTCTTATAATTATATCTTGAGTTTTTCACGTGTCGCCACAGTCTCTTCGATTTCTTATAGTGAATTTAGGCTGTTTTTCTGTTCTGTCACTTTTTTCCTTCTCTCTTTTCTCCTTTCCATGCGCACATTTTATCTGTTTTTTTCTTTTATATAGGCAATACATTCGACCATCGAATAACAGATAGAACAAGATTTATTCAAAACTTAGTTTCGTTTAAATAAACGCCTGAAAGTTCAAATCAAGCAGAAACAGTGATAAACTCAAATTTTTACATGGAATTATCATCTATACCATTTTTAATATTTTCCTTTATCAAAGACAATTGCTCATACAACTTTTTTCACCAAAAACATCAAGATTATAATAAAAGGGTCTATCACATTTTTTATTCAATTAGAAGAAACTAAACTTAAGGGGTGTAACAGAAAGAAACGCACTTTTTTGTTTTCGGTATATCTTCGTCGGATAATATGCGGTCGACTTAAATGTTTTTTTATAAGATTCGCCATGAAATCCTCTACTAAAATATCTCTTAACAAGTTTTTTAAAATGAAAACTGTTAGAGTTATAAAGAAAAAGCGAGGGTGACTAAAAACGCCAACTTCATAAATCATATGTTTCATACTTTCTTTGACGTTTTCTCAAACTGTAACTGAATTGAGGGCTTCGATTCTGCTTGATACTAATACTTTAAAGTATGCTCTTTCTAGTGCACGCCAAAACTTTTTGACATCAACACAGGCAGCTCAAAAAATCAACGTTTTATAAAGGAGCCAAAAAAACGCGTTTTTTGATTTTCTGTGTCAAAAAGAGTAAGCAAACAGTTCGTCAAATTCTCAAAAGTGACGTTGTCGAACTGATTACACTATGGGCTACAAAATAAAAAAAAACGTTAAAAAAAGGACGAGTTTTGGCTGAGTTATGGAACTTTTCGTGAAGCGAGCAAAAATCTGCTTCCAAAATGGTGATTTTTTAGAAAATGTAAAAATTGCTCCTTGCTATTACAGGCTCTAGAGTTATCCAATTTTTTTTGAAACCACAGTTTTGCAGAGAATTTTGTGCTCTTTCGAACGGTCGTCTCGAATTTCTCCTATCTTAGACTGTGACGATGAGTTATAAACAAAAAGCGAGGGTGACTAAAAACGCCAACTTCATAAATCATATGTTTCATACTTTCTTTGACGTATTGCCTATAAAAAAGAAAAAAACAGATAAAATGTGCGCATGGAAAGAAGAAAAGAGAGAAGGAAAAAAGTGACAGAACAGAAAAACAGCCTAAATTCACTATAAGATTAGACTGTGACGATGACCAGTTCAAAAGCGTATTTCAACCAATAGAATGACTCTCAGAGGTCGCTCATCGCAATTTTCTAGTACGCTGGTGGTTGACGTACCCCGCTTGAGTTCTATCTCGAGGCACCTTACCCTCTACCACTACTTCCATATGACCCTAGACTCTCAAGGCTTTTTCCACATATTTTTTTAGCAGTTGACGGTAGTTTCTTCTCTTTATCTAAAGTTTTTCAGAAGAAGATATAGGATCATCTTTAAGGGGATGATAACTACTGGTACCAAGTACTATTATTTCCAAATAAATACGTCATTCATTTTACTAAAAAGATCGCATGCAGACGCAAAAGTTGTTGGAGGCGATTGAAGATCGGACTGGATCGACGAACGTGTCTTTACTTACCGACGTATTCAATATTAACTGTACATGTTATAAAGCTCTAGAAGACGAGTAGAAAAAAATGATCAGGCTATTTATTTCAGCTATTTTAGTACCTTTGTAAAGATACTGAACACAAATGCTTCTAATGTGCCTGTCCACATTGTTAAAGGTATTAGTAATATTTGATTTAAACTTTTCATTTGTTTAAATGTTGACATAAAATATCGTGTTGATTCATGTAACAATTCTCGTACATTTTTCCCTATAATAAAAGAAAAGGTTAGAATTTAATCATCGGATAGAGTCGAAAACTATCGTCGTTTTCGATGACTGTGCCCAAGCTAATAAATCATCAGATTATCAAACCTGAGATAGCATAGGTATGCAAATATTAACTAACTTATACATACTTTCTGTTTTCCGCTTTTGATCAAGTAAAATGGAAATAAGAACGGCGCTCAGCACGATCAATCCAATAAATATACTATATAAAATATACACCTAAAATTGAACTGGATCACCAAATATCGAGCTAACAGTGGAAGCAAAAAACACTTTGAAACATCTGCATTACAAACACATTTCAAAAAGCACTTCACTAACACCACTCGAACATTGATCAGACAAATACTCATGTGACTATCGTGGAAAGATCTGGGCGATTCATCCCGTTTTCGCTAATATTGTGCCGATAGAAAAAACCTATTATTCTAAGTAAAAGCCACTGATGGGTTTAAAACTGTTTTTCAAAGTTAAAACATAAAAATATTTCTAAAAAAGTTGATCCGGTTAACGCGAGTTGATAATTATAACTATTTCAATCTCACGAATCAATCTCGTCAGTTCAAGCGTACAGTGATATGGTACGCCGCAGCACCGGGTAAACGTTCATGTTTCGGTAAATCATATGTTGTTTTGATTATTTCGTCATATATATACAATAAATTAAAAACAAAATTCACCAAATTTATTCTTATAGTCTCATTTTTTTCTTCATCAAACTCAATCAGTCTTAAATAAAATCTGCAATTATTCTTGATCTTCTATCCTAATTGGTAACTCCTTAATTTATACTGATAATGCATCTAGTTTATTTTGAATGACTTCCAGTCGTTGAAGATGAGTAGCTAGTTTGTCATACACGTATCACTAATTTTGTTCGTATTAGGTACTTGATCACTAACCGAAAATCTTGAGAATATCAGCTGGCACCACTTAATAATTTTTCATCATCGATACAAAAAAAGTTCTTATTTGGTAAGTGTTAAACTATTCTATGATGAACGAATTAATGTACCTGTTTGCTCTTAAACCATGTTTTAGGAACAAATGATTACTTAAGCATTAAGAATTATATACAAATATTAAGCTATATGGCCGGGAGACATATACAGTAGGAGCTTTGCATGCACACAAGTTTTGGCACTAAAAACAAATTTGCTTCAACAGACAAACAATTTTTGTTTTCTTCCACTTTACAACCCGATTATGCGACGCAAAGAAAATAAAAGTTTCATAAAATAAGAACTGAAAAAATTAGGAGAAGTACGATCAACTGGAGTTTTAACTATCAACCTAAGTTGATAGTTATAACTATTTGAAATTTTTGACCAAAAATTAAATTAGTTATAACTAGTTCTAACTCCAATAAGTTATAACTTAGGCAGTTTTAAACCCATCAGTGGTAAAAGCCTAAACATTTTCGTGCCCATATACACTGGTTTTTCAGATATACAGCCACACGAATGGTAGTACCGGAATTTTCAGACTATTTGACAAATAACTACAATCTTTCTCATTACAGTTTTCCTTCTCAAATAGTCGTTTGGCTGAGGTATTAGAAAATTTGGCGTTGGAGCCCGCAGTCTATAAATATTGTATTGTGTTAATATCTAGGCAACTAGTGCACACGGGTCCGAATGCTTCAGGCCTTTACTTCGAATAATAACTCCTTTTTATCGCCACAGTATTAGTGAAAGTGAGGTGAATCACGCAGAATGTCCACTACTAAGAGCGTTGTAGGCTTGAACGCTCTAGATCGATTAGCTGAAATTAGTCTCGATCAGACCTTGGATCCGACCAGCCTAAACTCCTGACCTTTGCACAATTCCGAGCATCCAAATGGGTTATAACCAGGTCAGAATCTCCTACAGACTTCGAGCCAGCACCAACATTCGAGCTGCAGCTATAGTCAGGATTTGAATATCTAATTAATCTTAAACTTTCTGAAGACTGCATCCGCTCCTGGCTCCTTCTGTCCTCAAAGTTTAAACTCGAATTTGCAACATTCCTTCGCCATGCTACATTAGAGATCTTCTGATTATTTTGTAATAAATTATAGAACGGTAAAGGACTTAAAACTCTAAGTACTCTCGTCTATTAGATGTCGCCTTACAGGCCATTATAAATAGAAAGTAACGTACTGATGTTTTCGACAAATTGCTGTTTTCAGTTGTCTCTGATTCATAAGTTTTTTCTAGAAATTCAGCTCCGCATGTATGATTTCGTACACTATTACTGTTGCTCTCTCCACGATCCGCTTGTTTCAAAAGAAAATATGAAATTAAGTTGCCCCATATTTGACCTAAGAATATAACTAGTTATACACCAGCAACCGCAGTATCAATTGAGCACGTGTTACTACATACTAGTTTGAAACATAGAATAATATATACCAAAGTATTTATTCACTTTTACTTCTTTATCCTGGTTTTCGGTTTCTACACCCATTTCTGTTATATAAGCAGATACTGAGATTGTGTATGCAGCCATAAATACACCACAAATAGCCGATGCTGAATTCATAAAGCAAGAGTTTATAAAGTTTAACTGGCCAATACGACTAAATTTAAAGATCTGTTAGCATTTATTTTTTCGGTACTGTGTATATTGCTTTTAATTCTTGTTATTTTCGGATGTGCTAATTGCATTAGGCCTGCAACAGTTAGTATATAAAGAGTGCTTATTCTGCCAAATTTGAATGTTCTCCTCATTCAAGTTCATAAGAATGTGAACTATTTCGACAATTTATCATTCGACTTACTAACCAAAAGATTGAACATTAACCCTGATCCGATCACCTATAATATGTCCAAATTCTACCGATTTCATTTGGATACTATCTGAACACATCGGTTAGATTTTACCGCTTCAGTTTATATTCCACTGAATGACAACAGCGTGTACTATCAATATGAACTAATTGCATCTACCCATTATTTATCTGGCAGCGCAGCAAGACATATTATCAGAACACTCGTATTCATCTGCCGTCCGCACACAGACCAAGCGGACGGATCAGAATTAATGGGTATTTTCCAACAAGAACAACGTAAATTTCATACACCAGTTATTATTTTGTTTCTCTTTGTATGTAACGCTGACCTCTCTATCTCTAATGGTTCTCAGATGGTAGACATTTTTCTGAGACGTATATGCATCTCAAGGACAGGACTGAGCAGCTAAAATAGGGTAGATCTTGAGATTATGAAGTAGCTCTAAGTGATTTTTGGCGAACTATGATTTTTTGGATTTTACATAAAAACAGCCCAACACCGGTTATTTCACTTAAAGTTGATGCTCACTTGATTCTTGAACTTTTTTCTGAAAAAAACATTGGCACAAGATTTAGCGTGGTTGATAACTTATATTTCCATCTGTCTTTGGGGTTATCAGGTGTAATACTAATGAATACGTATGTGAAGGAGAATGGCTCTCATCCGAGAACGCCAAGAGATACAAAAGGTCAGCCTTTGTTTCAGAATTGCAGACTGCACTTTGAGCTATCCAACCATTATAACACAAGTAAGAATCTATGATGGTTTTGGTATGACGATACCATCTTGGACGACGAAAGAGATAGAAATGCGTGATTGGTTTATGAATAAAAAAGATCACTGACTCTTTTTTCTTCTTGTTGCCTGTAACAGTCTAAACGCTACGATTATACATTCGTGTGGTTTTCACCTAAAAAACGACCGAATATTCAAATATCTGGATGATGAATTGTTGATACAGTTCACATTCTTTTGAACGGGAAATTCTCAAGTCCTATGCTGAATGCCAATCATACCACATGTACAGGATGCTTCACGAAAATATTCTGAGACTCAGCTGGGTATGTTAGTTAAAATAATCAGGTATGTTTACCAGGATACATAAACCATGCTTTAGGATACATATTTGCACCAATAAATAATCCAAAGCCAATTTGGGATAGAAATATTGACCATTTGTATCCAAATATAGACATGAATGGATGTGTTAAGAATAGGCATGCGAATGAAGCACAAGCATAGATGATGGCCAATGAAAAAACACCAACATTCGTCTCTGTATTAATACTTGATTCCAGGTTCGTAACAGCATGATTTGATGTGTAAACCAACACTGTGGTCAAGCATATAATAATAAAGTTCTTCTTATTTGCCTTTTTACTGTATTGTTGATTACCGTCATTTTGAGTTCCAGTATTATTTTCTGTATCCGTCATTTCACTATAAAGTAACTAAATTTTATACTTGATCTGATATCGGAGATTTCGATTCTCTTTCTTTCTAAACTTTCTTTTTGTTTTAGAATTTTCCTTCACAGCTCAAACGGAAAGTATCTGACATAACACACATTTCTGTAACCATATGGGAAACCAGCTCAGCAAATTAAAGATTTTTACTTTTAACTGCAGATCCAAACGAACAGTATCAACTGATGTAGGAAAAACAAAGTTCACGTTCATTCTCCTTTAACACATTGACAAAAATTAGTAATTATTTCGAAACCTAAGTAGTGGAATCCTTTTTCTGAAAAGCTTCTGTTAAATGAAACAAACTGAGTATCAAGGAAGCTCTTTTGATCCCTACTTATCGTTATCAATGTACAAGTATCACACAAAATGTTCAATTTTCACATAAGAAATTAAGAATTCTGTTAAGGTTATGACGCTGTACAGTGTACTTGAATGCACTATGCATTTAAAATAGATTCTTTTGCGAACCTACCTTTAGTACCGTAGCAATTTTTGTCCTTCTCTTAATAAATATAACTATTATTCTACATTAGGAACACTTTTAAGTCATAAAAAGAACATTTACCAATATGTAATTATATTCACCACAAGGCTGTGTTTATAAATCAATATTCGACTACGACAAATAGTCATATAAAAGAAAATAAGGAGAGAAATACAGAAAAACAGAATAATACGCGTTAAGAAATCAAAAACGATGTCATGCAGTTTGAAACATTGATCAATATAGCCGTTACCATATAACGCTCTGTAACACTAATACTTCGTATGAATACTATTTATGAATAATTTTATTTTCATTTTACAAGCACTTTATAACTCAAAGGTTAACGACGTTAGTCACAATGACAAAGCTAGGTGCGCTTTTCTATCGGTGTTATGG